TCTATATTAGCTAATTACCTAATTCAAGAATATTATAGTTACTAAAAAGAATGTGCTAGGTTTTTTTTTAGTAATAGAATAATCATCGAACTAAATTAAGTGCTAAAGTTGGTGGAAAATGTGTCAATATAATAAATTTAAATTTATCTTAAAAGAATGTTATCGTCTTCCAGAATTTTCCCATGTGCATTATATGACTTTTGTAACGACATATTAAAAATTTCTTTTTCTTTTCTTTTATCTTTGAAGAAAAGAAAATAACTCAGAGATAACTATTGATAGTTCAAAATTTTCAAATTATTTTTATCGAATTAAAATAACTTGAGGTAACTATTGATAGGAATAAAATGATAATTTCATAAAAATTTTCAAAAATAGTTTTTTCGGATCATTACAATATATATATATATATATATATATATATATATAAAATAATAAATTAGTTGATAAAATTCATGTCTCGTTATAGAGACAGACTGATATTCCTTTTTGAGAAATTTATAAGTTTTCATCGTGTCAAATCTTGCGAGTGAGTTTATGAATCCGACATGTGAAATAGGTTAAGTAGTTCTCCAAAGAAAATTAATCATCAATTTAAATTCGTCAATAATTTAATTTATTGATTTGTATATGTAATTGTAATAGGGGGGATTACATAAGTGTTAAATGATGAATTCCGAAATATAAATAGAAGAGTGCAATTACGAATTTCTAGTAGAATGATTTGTAATTTATTATGGTTAGCATAATTCAAATCAATTATTTGAAATTATTTCCACAAAGTATCGATAATTAATTATGTGGTTCCTATAATGCCCATATTTAACTATATCTCATAATTCTATTTTAATGGGAAAAGAAAGAATAATGTGATTTTTTCTGATTTTTCAGAAAAACAAGATTTTCTACTATTTTTTGTACTAAGAAGAAATCTCTATAATTAGTAGTTTAAACTGGAGATAATTTTGATATAATAGGCTTAAATATGACCTAATTACTCTAACTAGTAATATTATTTCATTTTTATTATAAAAAATATTTTATATACTATTGTGAATGTCTATTCATTTATGAGAAAAGTTAGGGTTAATTATTTCGTGACCGAAAAATTAGAGGGGTCTCATTCACTGCAATTTCATGTAATCCTTTTCTCTTCTCACTACCTTTCTCTATAAATATATTGTTCTTCTAACTTAATTATTTTTAATACGTTATCATCAAGAGATTTTACCATTTCATGTAAGTTTTGAATTAAAATCTTATTATAAAGACATTTGTTTTACTGATCCAACAACATCACACATATAATATTTAAAGATAAGCAAAATATTTCTCTCATTAACCTATGAATCGCGAAAGAGTGTTACTATAACTAAATTTATTGAAGACTTCGAAAAGAGACATTATAATTTTTCAAAAAAAAAAACAAAGCACATTTTAATAGTAAAATTTATTTTTAAGCCCCGAGAAAATGTACATCACTACTATATCTGCTAATATTAATTTTACTTTCAGACGATTACATATATTATCACTTTTTGTATTTTATATCCATATATTAATATATTATTTGAAGATTCAATAGATACTCACATCCCTTAAAACTATGATTGATTGATTATATGCTTAATTAACTCTTTCACTTCAAATCAATCACTATCTCTTAACAATAACTGATCAACTCTCTTCTTCTCAAGATATCATCATTATGGTCGACAAAATTTTCTGAACCCAAATATTATTCTATATTGTTAATTTCTAACGAGATCAAATCAAAATAACTGATACAGAAAAAACTTTCAATTTAGAGTGGATCTTGATTGTTTTTCATTTATAACAAAATCAAATCAACGGGACTGCTAAAGAGAAAACTTTCAATTCAAAATGGGTCTCGATTAATTTGTATCCGATAGAAATGAATCTTGTTTTAATTATGTTATGCCACAACGCAAAATGTTACAAAGGAGTATTGTAGATAATCTTTGTTTGCTAGTGTTCTTCTAATGCTTTTTTTGGTTAATCTGACATGGCTGTGATAGTATTAATATTACTTTGATATACCCCTTAAAACATGTGTATCTAATAAGTAGTAATCTTAATTAATATCTGAGTTGTATTTTTAGTTATGGGGTATCTGACCATGTATTTGTATTCACCATTAGATTTCGAATACATGATTTTTAATTACATAATGATATTAATGATATGACAGATACTCAACCATCGTTATATGCTCCTAAATTCATGTGTTTCACCTATATTTCATATTTCGATACACATAATTAAATATATATATATATATATATATATATATATATATATATATATAATACTAGATACGTATTCAAATACATGAAATTAATGCTAGATACTTTGACACATATGGATGTGCTTGTATGACACTCATGTATCGAAGTGTTTAGTTTGTTGAATACATCAGATATATCAAATAGATAAACCGAATTAATGAATTTATTTTTTTAAGAGTAATAATTTGAAATTAATCAAATTACATTACCAAGATATACATGTTTTATCTTATATTTATAATATTAATGAATTTACTATTTCAAAAGAATAATAAATGAAATTAATTATCTATCTATTTTGAAAATCCTCAATTACTCCTCTAATTAATGAAATCAGTTACAACAAGTTAATTTAAATAAATAAATTTTGTACTTCAATTTTAAAATTCCCCAGATATATGTATCTCATATTGAGACTCATGTATGTTAATCTTAAAATATGATAGACAAAGTAATATTTGAAACTATTGGAAATCTTAATAATTAAGACCTAAGCTAGTGAGATTTACGTGGTTTAAACTTTTAAAAACATCATATATGAATCTATGTTCCAATTTTCTGCAAGATTACTTGAATAATAGGTTTAAATGTAACTAGAGGTTTAGGTGATTATATTTTTCTTTATGTATTGATATTGAATAACATGTCTTCACACTTAATTACATTCTAATTCAATTACAAGATAAACCATTCAAGCAAACATGTTCATTTTACACAACTTTTGACCAGATTATATATACTGTTGTACAACACAACTTTTTAAACCATATTTCAGAAACTTGCACACAACCAAATAATCCAAAAAAAAAGAAAGAAAAATAGTAAAAGACAATACATACATCCTTGTTTTTTTTTGTGATAGAAGCAAGTAGAGAGCATCACCAATTAAAGCTGATAGACTCAAAATGTAGGTTTTGTGCCAAGCCAGAAGCACATATATTGGCAACCTCATGTCTCATGCTCTTTGGCCCACAAACAACAACTCCAACATCTGATTCTTTGCAACCAAAAAGTATTCCTGTCATTCAATTCAAAATAATGTAAGTTCAAGTCTTTCATCAAAAAATTATATCGTACATACAATTTAAATAGGCATAATACATATATTAGACTTTAAACTTGGTTTTTTCAAATTTTAACTTTGACCTCCAACTTTCAAAATGCACAAACAGACAGTTTAACTATCTAACTTTTGAATAAATAAACACATGAGTCTTACATGACAAAATACACGTAGGACACCATGTATGACAAAAAATGACATGTAGGACATGTGTGTCTATTTGTTCAACTTTATACAAGTTTAAGTGTCTATTTTTGCACACCCAAAATTGAAGAACGTATATATAATTCGAAACCAAGTTAAAGGGAATATGCGATTTAAATATTGAAGTAGCAAATAAATTAGCTAGTAAACTTACTTTTTAGATCAGGCCTAGTACCATAATGCACCTTAGTAGCTTGAACAATTGACTGATGAGGAAGGCTTTCCAGCTCCCTTTCGATACCACATAAATTACCAACAGGTGAATTTGTAGGAATTTCCACATTCTGAATTTGTTTGCCTTCAATTTCATTCTCCCTCTTTTGCCACATAAAAATAACACTAGTGACAATAAATATCGAAGCACAAGCCAAAAACATATCCCAAATAATTTTCGCGCTGTAATGATACAATTTCCCATCGCGTTCAATTGGATATATGGAGTAACGCGTAACGAGGCCTAACAAAAGGAGAAACATGAAGAATGAAGAAGTAATTATCGCTCCAAGCCAGAGCCAGCTGCTTTTCCCGAGTGCTGCAGAAATAGGAGAGTCTTTCGGATTTTGTTTGAACACTAGGAGTTGTTGTTTCGACTCGTGTTGTTGTGGTTCGTTTTCTCTAGTGATATAAGCTTCGATTTTGCATTCTAAGTTGGAGATATCGAAAGGAGCTGTGGTGATAGGGAGCAAGAGATCAAGCATTGTGAGATCTGATGTGTTTTTGAAGGATGTAATTAAGATGACTTTTGGTAATTTGGTGTTTGGTTGAAGTGTGCTTCTGTAAATGAGCTCTCGAAATATTGAAATCATGGGAGTAATTCCACTTCCTCCACTAATCATCACCAAGCATTCTCGACTGAAATGTGTATGTCACATTGGCTTTGTTAAATCAATGAAATTTACACACATATGCTAAGTAATAGCTTCAAAAATATTTTACAATGTTTTATGTAACGTTCTAGTAGCTTAAATTTAAATGATTATGTGATCAACGAGCATTTGTTTTATTTGAGTTACTAATCATTGTAATTAAGTGTAATAAATGAATTTCTAAACTTGTTAGGTTTTCCGTCAGGTCAAGTACTTCAATTACGTCATTTTCCTATTCAATCATTCAACCACCCATAATTTGTTCCTTTTAAACTTTGTTTGACTGATTTTGATCGTCTTTTTCGATTGTAAATGTCTTTAATTGTGTTCGTATTGCAATGATTTTGATTGAAGGAATGAAGACAAATTGTGTGTTAGTTTCATTTATTATCTAATGTGTTCAAATGACTTGAAGTAAAACACAATTATTCTCGAACTATCAATTGGACTAATGAGTATGTCTTTTCTATCAATACCTTTCACAAAATCTTGTTCCACATCAGCCACCGTTATTTAAAAGAAACAAATTATAGGTGGTTCAATGATTCAATAGGAAACTAGCATAGTTGAGGTACATGAGGGAAAAATCCTACAAGTTTAGGGATCTGTTTATTATTTGGCCTTTGAGATATGTATTAGATATTGAATACTCCATTTAATATCAGCGTAAAATAGACACAAAAGGTTAATCTATCTCTTAAATTTTTCAAACTGAACAAGTATTATATTGAACAACTATTTTTTATAGTGCAGTGAACCAGTAAAAATAGACGGAGGGAGTAATTAATTACCTTAAGAAATGAGACGATGAAGGTCCATAAGGTCCCTCTGTTGATATTTGTAGGTGATCTGGAGAAGAAGAAAGTTGTTTTTCTAATTTTTGGCTCCAACTTCCCATGCATTTAATTACAACACTTAATTTATCTGTCTCCAAATTACTGCTTGAAACAATAGTAAATGGATGCCATTGTAACTTGGATACACTTGGCACGTTCACAAACAAGATGCTTGTAGGGTTGTATGTTAATGCTGTAATAATGTGAAAAAATTATAAGTACGTATTAACTAACATGTGTAGTACTAGTAATAGTACTAGTGTACTACTACTGCTAATTTCAATGTGTGTGAACATATTTAATTAATTGGGAATAAAGTTCAATAATAATGGAGTGATTACAAATGCTATTATAAAAATTACATTGGTTTAATAAATCAACAATATATAGTATTTAGCGATTTTTCTTTTAAAAAAAACCTTCCTCATATGATATGAACAACCATTCATGTCGAACATGAGATTTTTTTTGTTAAGTTTAAAACTGTCTTTTCTTTTTTGACAAAATATAAACTTATTGTTCAAGTTTCTCATTTAAAAAAAAATTGGAAATACAACTTGGTATTTCAAATCCGACTTAAAAAAATTTAAAGTTTGAAATTGAATTTTTGTTGCAATTCATAAACAAATGTTGATGTCAAATTTGAGTTTCATAATTCTAAGGCCAATCACCTACTGATAACGCTATAACATTTGGTGTATAAAACCATCTCAATCATACATTCATACTATAAAAAGTTTAAATTAAATTATTTCGAATTTAGAAAAGAATCATTGCTTTATCATCGAGTTATAAAGGAGATAGATTCACATGTATGTATTGAAAGAGACGGAGAGAGTGTGTGTTTGTATCTTCTTAACTAATGTTCTTGAAAAGTTAGCATGCTTTTTGTAATTAAGCATGGGGTTTAACTTATCTTTTTAAGAAAATTAAAATTTATGATCTTAGACTAAAAATGTTTATAATATATCAAAGGGATAATGCACAAGTACACCCTCAACCTATGTCCAAAATCTCAGAGACACACTTATACTATACAAATGTCCTATTACCCCCTGAACTTATTTTATTAATAATATTCTACCACTTTTCGATTTACGTGGCACTATCTTGTAGGCCCAACACTGGTTGACTGGGTAGAAAATTACTTATAAAATAAGTTCAGGGGTAGAAGTACCTTAGTATAGTATAAGTGTGTCTCTGGGATTTCAGGCATAGGTTGAAGGGCTACTTGTGCATTTTTTCTATATCAAAACTATGTTCTTTGAATATAATTTTTTGAGGTCATGTGTGACTAATCAATAGAGGTGAAATATTGGAGTATATATAATGTACCTGGATTCTTGGAAAAGGTGAGTTCGAAAGTGTTACAAGATAAAAGTCGTGAAGAAATTAATCTAACACTTCTTTTAGACTGTAAAAATCTCAAGTATCGATCGATAAGGAAGAGAAAAATCCCAGGTAAGATCATGCATGTGTAGGCAACTCCAACATGCAAAAGGTAGAAGATGATGTATAGAGTATATAGTTGATGTGTGTAGAAGAATAAATCGAACATCTTTCTCCTTATCTTGTACAAACTTGTAACCCACATTGCTATTGCAACCAACGTCGCTATTTCTCCAGCTACATTCGATACGTACGAACTACTCCATTCTATCATCTGCAGAATATATACACACAAATGATATCGCGATCTTTTTTGATTAAAAATTTGTAAAAAAACAAAAAAACTAGGGTTATTTTTTTGTTGTGATGCGTTATTGGAAAGTTGTGTAGCGTTAAAAACCCTCACTTGGTTGATCCATGAAAAAATTTCGGGGTCTTGAAAATAATGAATTCAGAGAGGTTTTAACCAAAATTAAGCCATTATATAAAGCCATTCACCAAAATAATATGTTTTTCTAAAATTTTACAAAACTAGTATAAACGTATTCCACAGTAACGTTTTAAGATATATTTTATTTTTTAAAAGTTGATGGCATCAGATTGATATACGTTACTGAAAATAACGTTTTAGGAGTAAAATGTTACTTACAGTAACGTATATCAACCTAATGCTGTTAGTTTTTAAAAATAAAATA